GCCCCTGGGGGATCCTTCCGCTAGCTCCCCGGGATCTGGGGCGGCTGGAGGCTGTCCCGCTGTCTCCTCCAGGCTTCCTCCGTCAGTCTCTCCCGAGCGCCCAGCTGCCCCGCACAGTGGCGAGTCCCCAACACCCGCTGCAGTGAGACTGAACCCCACAGTCCCAGGAAGCCCCGACTGTCTCCTGTAGAGCCGGGAAGGCTTCCCGGAGGGGGTGGCCTCTGCGCTAGGCCTCCAGGGCTCAGCAGGAGTTGAGACACCAAGAGGAAGCCCTCACTACCTACCCAGGGGCAAGCTCATCGACAGGGGCTGGAGAGAGAGCCTTGGACGCCACTGGCCGCGGCTGAGGCTGCACTCTGAGACGGGGAGCCATGGGAGGGGCCAGGGATTGAAGGGGAGGTGGAGGGACCAGAAGTTTGGGCACTCGAGGAGGGGGTGCTGGGAGGGGAGAAGGGAGGGATGGAACAGAGGCAGGAGGGGTGTTAGGTCTGGGAGTGAATGGAAGGGAGGAGGGGCTGCCAGGCTGGCTATGCATGGGTACCTCTCACTGGAGGAGAGCAGAGGGGAGAGAGGACAGGAAACGGGGTCTGCCCAGCCCCCCTCAGCCCCCCATTCCCATTCCTGACCCCAGCCAGGCTGCCCCCTGCGGGACCTCTCAGGAGCCAGAGTTGTGTCCTCCCAAGCCTTGTCCCCCGCCCTCCCAGAGAGAAAGGTCTGAGAACCCTCCCAGCTACCCTGGCGCCCCAGGGCCACAGTTGCCCATCAAGACAGAGCCAGTTCTGGCTGATCCCCATCTAGGCCCGCCCGGAGGCCAGGGCGCTGTCTGCCTTGCTGTGGGCGGAGGAGATGCCCGCACAAAGCAAGTGCACCTGCTCAGATCCACACACAGCCGGCCATGCACCACCCGGGGCCAGCGAAGGAGCCAGCAGCTGGCACATCTGGTCAGGTGACTCTGAGCTGCAGGGGGTGGCCAGGCGTCAGGCCAAGCTGGCCTCCCTGAGTGCCTACCCCGGGGGAGTGTGCCCCCAGAGATGATCACTCTAGGACAGCCATTCTCATCCTGGGGCAGGGGGGCGGGGGGGGGCGTTTGGTACTGTCTGGGGACAGTTTTGGTTGCCACCAAATGACAACTAGGAGGGGACTCTGCTACTGGCATTTGTGGGTGGGGCCAGGGATGCCGCTAAACATACTACAACATACAGGACAGCAGAGAATTATTGGGCCCCAGAAGTCGGTACTGCCACGGCCGAGAAACCACCCTGGGGAGAAAGAGACGGCCCCCAGGGGAAACCACAGGAGCTGACACGAATGAATGCCCGGCGCTGCCAGCCACACAACGTCAGAAATCTCCCAGTAACTGCAAGGCGGGGCCCCTGACCCTTGTTCAGCAGCAGAGGGTGGAAAAGTGAGATTCCCGCCCCCCAGTTCTCACTAACCTCTTCTGTTTGGGTGGTAGACACACAAGGCAATGTACCAGCAACTGTCAACCTTTTTCATCTCATGGCACACAAACTCATGACCAATCTGCCATCTGACAGAAAGCGAGGCATAATTTTGATTCATTCACACCAGATGGCCACTGTGTTGGCTGCTGTTGTTTTTATAATTTAACATTTGAAGGGAAAAGAGGTCAGTGCCCCTGACGAGACAGGCAGGTGTTGCATGTTTTAAAAATTCTTGCGGCACACGGGTTGAAAGTCGCTGCCATATACAGACGATGTATCATATAATGGTACGCCTGAAACTTATATAGTGTTATTAACCAATTTCACCCCAAGAACCTAAATAACCTCCTTTCTGCTTGTAGATGGCAGAGTTCATTTATGCCAGTGGTTTTCAACCTTCTGGCCCTTTAAATACAGTTCCTCATGTTGTGAGCCAACCATAAAATTATTTTCGTTGCTACTTCATAACTGCAATGTTGCTACTGTTATGAATCGTCATGTAAATATCTGATATGCAGGATGGTCTTATGCGACTCCTGTGAAAGGGTCATTCGACCGCCAAAGGGGTCGCGACCCACAGGTTGAGAACCTCTGATTTATTCTATTTCCTACCAAGAACCCTGCTGGGGGACCCATGTAGGTATCACCAACCCCCTTTCACAGGTAACCGGCAGAGGTCAATGAACCTGCTCAAGGTCGAGCAGCCAGCCAGTGGATTTGGGTTTGAGCTAGGTCTGTTGAGATACTAAATTCCAGCTCCCTCCACCACCTCCATTGCTCCCCTGCCCCCACCTCCCATGCCTGCCCCTCCCTCTCCCATATTTCCTGAAACACTAGCAGACCCCGCCCCCCACCCACTCACCCAGGACTTAGCTTTCCCGTTCCCTCCTAACCACGTCACACTTTCCAAACGGCCTGGCCTGTCCTAATTAGAAAGCCATTTCATTACTTTGTCAAGCTGGGATCCCTTTGGGGACAGACCCAAATTAGGCCTCAGCCACGGAATTAGCTGCTGCGCTAAAGGAAGATGAGCCCCTTCGCTGGCGTGGCTGCCACTGACCTGAATCCCTGAGGCCGTGTAGGCCCGAGGACTCCCTGGGATTGTGCGCAGGTGCACCATCTACGAGGTCGCCACCAGCCACGTGTGGCTATCGAGCACTTGAACTGTGGCTAGGAGCTCCCTAGTGAGACCGGGGAGCTGGATTTAAACCTTAGACTCATGAAATTTCATTTTTTTAATAGCGACACATGGCCAGTGGCTGCACAGAATAGAAGCTGGGCCCAGCCTCCTGGTCTCCCTGTGCCTTCTCCTTTCTCCCGACGTCTCTGCTGCAGCCACTGGGGCCACCTCTTGGTCTGATGGGTTCCAGCCTCTGTTGAGCTCTGACCTGTGACACACACGCACGCGCGCACACACACACACTCACTGCTACCCTTTGCTGCTCAACCTCTCATTTAAACCTGGTCTCTCACTGATGGGGGAGGGGAGGTCCCCAGGGCCACACTGTAGCTCGGAATGGCCTTTTACCCCATGTAGGATGGCTCACAGCCGGGCACTGTTGGGTACCCAGTATTGGTACCCCTAGGCCTGGGGGACACTGCCCTTCCTTTGGTGCTCAGGAGTCCACCCCTGTGGCTAGATGCCTGGCCCTGATGAACACCCCTTGGGGACCGTCTTCCCACCTCCACAGGACACATTGCCAGACCCCACCGGTCAGTGTCTGAGCCGCAGACCAGCACCTGTTGCCTCCTCCTGGGAGCCCGCCCTGATTGCCCCCGAGGATTCAGCCCCGGGCTGTCTCCGCTGGCTCTCAGCCCTCGGAATCACAGATAACTGTGTCTGGGACTCCTTCACCCCGTCCTGCTCCCTTGGGAACGCGCAGCACGGATCACTGTAGCCCAGGCCACGGGGGCCTGGGGGTGGGATAGGGAGGTGGGGGTGGGGATGGCTGAAGCCACACTGTCAGGGTAGCCCAGCTGGGCCCCGCCCCCTCCTCCACAGCCTCCCCAATTTTCCTGTCGCACTTCACTCGCGCTGACAACAGAGGCTGCTGTTTCATCCTCCCCAGCAGCGCCCCGGGGAGGCTGCGGGACAGGCTTCCCCAGGTCCCGCTCCCGCTGCCCAGGCTCTCGGC